ATATATGGGTGTGGTTTCTATAAGGTTGCAACCTTAAACAATCCAATTAAGGTGTACCTTAAAATTTTATCGTGACATGTATTTTTCTTGTTAAAAATCTTAGTATTATCTTAAAATCTATTTTCGTACCTAATTAGAAAATTTTAAAATCCAAGAATGGTTAAAATCAAGTAGATCTATAAACATCTGAAAATCTTGAAAATTGACAGTCTAGATAATATGTTGCAGGATGCACTATTTTGGGGACTCAAATTTTTTTTTTTTTTCATATTCATACATCTCGATGTTGAGAAGATCGACTAGAGGTTTTTTCAACATTAAAACAATATTTTCGATATATTTTTGAGGTGCATCTGTGATTCTTCATTTTAAGGTTATGACCCAAAAATTTTGCACACACTCTATTCATCTCAATAATCAATCTAAAATAATAATAATAATAATAATAATAATTTGTACCCTATTTATGATCAAAATGAGCCCCCTCCAACAATGAATCTAGACCATCCATTTGATGAATTTCAAGGTCTTTATGAATTAAATATCAAATTTTTTTCATTTTTAATATTTTAATCTAATGATAGTAAAATTATCTAAAAATTTTGAAAAGAAAAAATATCATTCTAAAGCCTAGATATAAGCATCTCACTATAATGGACGAATTATGTTAATTGGGCTAAAAAAATACTTTCTAAATTGCATTTTCTCTCTTTTTTTCTTTTTTTTTGGTTGAAATTGTTCATTAGAATGAAAAGAATATATATTTTAAATTTTGGATCAAATATATGGCCCTAAAATAGTTTTTGAAGGATGTTGCATCATATTACTATACAATTATTCAAGTTATTTTGATTATTGAACCTTTTGAAAAAAATTAGATTAAAGAATTTCATAATTTAGGTTCATAATTTTTTAGAGGGATTAGGTTTTAGATAAATATTTGGTTGATGAATGCATTTTTCTAGATATGCATTCAAATTATTTTGATTATTTAATACCCAAAAAAAATCCAATCTATGCATAATTTTTCCTATTATTTAAGTATTTATCTTGATTGATGATTGCCAATTATTTTTCGCTATTTTTGGCCAAAACCATATGAATTTACACTGCCGAACAATAGATAAGAGTCCTCATTAACTTTATTGAAATAATTGATTATATAATAATGCATGTGTCCACTAATTTATATATTTAACGTTTTATTCCCAAGAATTTAAACTCGTGATTATGTGCATGTGCATCTTGGTGTGTTTTTTAAAATTAAGAAAAATCGATAAAAACAAATTTAGAAAAAATATCTCTATAAACCCCATTTTCAACTTCCATTTTTTTTTAAATTCAAAATTTCAAAAATTATCTTCTAACCTCCGATTAACTTTTTTTATTTTTATTCCAACTTTTAACCCAAATAAATTATAAAATATAACTTTTTCTATCTTTCTCTCCTCACATGATTCAATCTCAGCTCTTGGATTTTCTGGCAAGGTCCCGGCAATCGTCGGTGAAAACCTCAAGACCATGAACCTCTTGAGAAGTAGTCTCAATTTTCCGGAAGCTGGAACATTTTCCAACGGGTCAAGCCTTAAAGTTTTAGAGCCCTAAACCTCTAGAGAAACATCTTTTTCTCACTCTCTCTCTCTCCCCACTTGTTTCAATCTCTCTCCATGTATCGAGAGACAGGGGTTTTCCTTTACGTTGGTATTCCTTTTTCTGCGAGCCACTTTCTCTCTCTCTCCTATTCTCTACTTCATTATCTGTACATTCCCTTCCAAAATCCTCTTCTAAAGTCGCCTGTTGACGTTTTCTCTCTACTCAAAAAATGCTAAAATTTCAATCATGTCTCCCAAATACACGGCTTCTTTCTCACTCTAGGACTCTCCAGAGACCCATTTCACATAGGCAAGATCCTCGGTTTTTATATGAATTTTGGTCCCTGTCATTTGAATCAGGCTAGACTGATTTTCGACCATGTCGAGAATAAGAGCACATTTCTTTGGAATTCCATGATCAATTCATATTCCGATGGTCTTTCACATGTAGAAGCTCTTTCTCTCTCTCGCTATCTCTCTCTCTCTACATTCAAATGCTCACAGAAAGTGCAAAACCCAATAAATTCACGTTTCCTTCTCTTTTAAAAGCCTGCAATCTTTGGTCGTCTCCCCTAGAAGGCAAACAGGTTCATTGTCAAGTTTTAAAGCTAGAGATAGGAATGGATGGGTTCATTCAATATATATGCCAATGCTGGGTGCTTGGATTATTCACGCCAAGTTTTCGATGAAAGTTCTCAATTCAATGTGGTCTGTTGCACTGCCATGATTAATGGGTACATTCGATTTGGAAGCTTTGACAAAGTGGGCCAACTGTTCAATGAAATGGTGGAGAGAGATGTTTTCTTGGAGTGCCATCATTTCTGGTTATGTTCAGATGGGTAGACATAAAGAAGCCTTCCCTCTCTTTCATGAAATGCAGCTCGAAAACATCAAACCCAACCAGGCAATACTTGTAGCCGTGCTTTCGATGTCTTCTTTGCGTTTGCGTTCTCTCTGTCTAGGCCGGTGGGTCTATGCTTACATTATAAAATCCATGGTTTCAGGGAATGTGGAGCTCGCTACTTTAGTGGTTGACATGTATTCAAAATGTGGGGCATTATAAATGGCTCTAAAATTATTTGGAAAGATCCCCACAAAAGACGTTGGTTCATGGAATGGCTTGATCTCTAGCTTGACCATGGCTAAGAAGCCATTGAGCTCTTTCATGATATATAGAGAGAGAGGAGTTTGGGAGGTTGATCGGGGGAGAGAGAAAGAGAATCATCAAGAGAGAGTGGTTTAGAAACAATGTTTTTTTAAAATTTGTTTTGGTCTAAAAAATTAATAATAAATAAATAAAACATGTTTAGGGAATTATGAGATATAATAGTGTGAATTTGTAGGTAGTAGGATATGTTTTGCATCCTTAAGTCATTGGAGAAATAAAAGTTCAAAATGGAATATACAAAGATATTTTACCAAAATTTTAATTAAATTATGAGTGATGATAGACTATCGTACACCCATATGTATAGGACCTCAAATAATTACCATTAAAGTTAATACAAATCTCTAAAAAAGTTAATCATTTAGCACAAATATAAGATCATTACTCTCAAATTATTTATCCATTTTCATAAATTTCACATAATATTGCGATGACCCCCTGGACCACAATGTTGCCGTGAGCAATATTGAGCCATCAATGTTTTAAAAAACCGAAAACTGGAGTTTTCATAAATTTCACATAATATTGCGATGACCCTAGGCCAGCCACAAATGTTGCCATGAGCAATATTGAGCCATCAATGAACTAAAAATACGACAAGCTGGAGATGCGGGGTATCGAACCCCGTACCTCTCGCATGCAAAGCGAGCGCTCTACCATGTGAGCTACATCCCCATCGGTTGTCACACTTATGCACATTTATCTATATGTATAATCTATTCATCTTAGCCGTTCAACCACCAAAAGCAGAAAAGATGAACCTTGGCGATTCAAATCATAATATTTGGCCATTCAGATGAATTCCTCAAGCAAAGGGAATTTTGGTCCAAAATATATTCTAGAAATCATGTGGGGCTTTTCAACCTGAGAATTGGCACATGGGCCTTTTGTGTTTGCTGGAGCTCCTTGTAGAGATAGGTATATTTTTGGATCATTGAAGTAACGAAATCTTTTCACATTCAAATTTATTATTTTTACTAAAAACTATTATTTTTATTACAAATTTTGAGAAAATATAAGTAAAGGGTTCAAATTCTCCTGCATAACTATTAAAAGGGACAAGGTCTTGTTTGTTAAAGCAACATTTAGTTTTGAAGTTTCATTTCATAATATACTTTAAGCTCCAAACTACAGTAAGAACCTTGAAAAAATACCGGTATTTATATTTTGTTAAATGACCAAAATGCCCCCAATTGTTCAATGTTATTAAGACAAAACCATGAATATTTGATTAGTTTTGTAGTTCAAGCGGTCTAAGTCATTAAAACGCCCTAAGTATGCAAGGTTCCCAATCCTAAATAAAGGTAATAATGAGAATTTTAAAGCAAAGTTTTTATAGATGCCCTCATCATCATCCCAAGCCATATTCCAACTATTTGGAGTTGACAATAAGAAATAACTAGTTCAGGATTCATGAAAAATGCAGCTAAGTTTTATGTTGTCTGCCCACCTAACACAACCTTCTTCCTTCGTCCTTTCTCTAGGCTCGGGACCTGTCATAACATAATTACAAAATCTTTATGGTTGTACGTTTATGGAATGAAACTTAGAAAGTAAATTACCTACAATTTTTTCAACTATTTGATTATTTTGCAAGATAACTAGAGCCCCGTAATGATATTTTCTCAAAAACTTGTACATAATGACACCAATGCTTGTAGAAGAATATCCTCAGACATACACAAACAGACTTTACATAAGTGCACACATATTACATTACCATGTAAATATTACATTAATTCCAAATTCTCTAAACCCAAAAGCCTAGTATGGCCTTTCACCCAAGTAATTCCCTGGGGGATCATAGTTACAAGTCATGAACACATCCCCTGTGTCACATACAACCCTAGCACACCCAATCCTTCTAGTGTTCTTCCACACTACTTGGGTATAGTGGCCGCACATTTGGTCCCCAACGCAAGAATTGCTTCGATATGAATAATATTTTTCTTCATCAACCCAAGCCTTAACTGCATCAATTGGAGACCACACTGAGCCGCTGCCCCAAAATATGTTCTCTCCAAGCTTGAAATCGCCTTCAGGGAATGAATGCTGCAACTTGCAGTCTGATTTCCTCTGGTTCGCCCACCATTTTGCGTATTTTTCGACCTCTATGTCCCAAACTAGAGGGATTTCCAGGTGCTGGGCTCGAGCCCAGTTGTGGGCGAACAAGAACTGCAGTGCATCTGTGAAGCAATTCCAACAAAATCCGCCGGAGAAAGTGTATAATGTTTGGTTTTGCGGCAGCTTCTTTTCTAGGAGATCCTGAATTGTTTGGTTTACCGGCAGGTTCTTTCCTAGGAGATGGTGAATTGTTGCGTCTTCTGGCCGGTTTTCACCAAATACCGGTGGAGGCCGAGCATGGATATGGTGGTTGTTAAATGAAATGGAGAAGAGGAGGATGAAGAGGAGAATTTGAGTATAGTACATTTTATGGAGAGAGAGACTGTCTAACTCTAAACTTAGCTTAGAGGAAGGTGTGTGTAGCAAATTTGTGTGTGAAAATAGAGAGACAGATACAGGAATGAGAGAGAGAGAGAGAGAGAGAGAGAGCTTAGAGGAATATGTGTTCTTGTTGGGGTGGGTGGGTGGGTGTGTGTGCGTGCGCGCGAGAGAGAGAGAGCTTAGAGGAATGTGTGTGCTTGTTGGGGTGGATGTGTGTGTGCGCCTGCGTGAGAGAGAGAGTTGAGGAATGTATGTGTTTTGTTGGGGGGAGGGGTGGGGTGTGTGTAGAGAGAGAGAGAGAGAGAGAGAGAGAGAGCTTAGAGGAATGTGTGTGTGAGTGAAAGAGAGAGAGAGCTTAAAGGAATGTGTGTGAGTGAAAGAGAGAGAGAGAGCTTAGAGGAATGTGTGTGAGAGAGATAGAGAGGTTAAGGGAATTGAGAGAGAGAGAGAGAAGAGAGTGGTGCAGGATTTGAGTGAGGGTAAGGAAGTGTTGTCCTTTCCTTTAGTTTCGGGAATTGTGGGGAAATGCGTGTTTGATTTATAATGGAGAGGCCCCCGTGAATGGGGACGGTGTTTGTTTGTGCACCCGTGAACACTCGATGCATGTGTAGAGTGGCCCCTATGGGTCCCACCAAGGAGGGTAAAAGCGTCACTTTCCAATATTGTGTGGTGTGGTACATAGTTTAGGTTTTTTTTCCTTTTTTCCTTTTTTAAAATATTATCTAGCATTTTCATTAAAAATGGAATTGCAGTGATATCATTTATTTTTACTACAAAGATATTACAATTAATCATTACAAAGATATTACAATTACTTTTAAATGACTTGAGTTATGCCACAGAGTTCAATAATTTTTGTTTTACCTTTTTTAACTTTGAATCTATTTAATGACACTCTTATGACAACTTAATTTGAAATTTGACAGAAAAAAAAATAATTGTGCCCACTTTATACCAAAAGTAAATAAATTTTTTATATACTTTTCTGTATAAAAAAAAGCATAATTACAAGAATCATAAGAGAGGAAAAAAAAAAAAAACTATTATAGTCCATGACTCTCCATGATTGCTGAGAGAAATGGCACATAGTCCACGACAAGGACAGCAAACATCCATTCCATTAAATGAATGGTAGAAATGAGCTTTATCCGAGTCCTGCATATGCCATCCCCTTGCTCTAACGGACAATTAGCATTCCCTTGGTCCCTACACACTGAATTAAGTGGCCGTGACTTTGTCAAAATAACTATGAGAGATATAATATTTAGCATTTTATATTTTTTTACATTATTCCAACTTATGATCATATGTCTTTTTATAGCTATTTTGAAATTAAATAAAAAAGAGATTGTATACAATGAGATTATTTACCTCTGATATAAGGAGGTCAAAATTACTTACAACCATCCGATGTGAAATGATAGCTTGGTGTGTAACAAAGGTTGAGAAAAATTCTCTTGAACTTTGAACTTGGTCAATTAAATAAATGTAGCCATCTAATTTCATATTGCATAGTCAATATTAATTGTGACCATCTTATACTAAAAGTAAATGATCTCATTATATACTTTTCCATAAAAAAAATATCCAATGTAAAATAGTTCATCTCACATGGAAAATTATCAAAGTACCCCTATGAGATGATGTAACTATTTAACATTGTACTCATATTATTTGATTTTATTTCAAAACACCCATAAAAGGATGTATGATAATGAGTTGGAGCAAACTTTCTCCGCTTCCTCTACAGCATAAAACTTATATACTTCCCCCTATCCAACCATCCATTCTGAATGGATGGCTGAGATGGCTTTAATTACAATATCATGTCTCTACACTGTTTTATTTTTAATTTTTCTACATAATATTTTGACACCAAATTTTAGACGTCCAATCCTCTCTTAAAATCTCACATATAAAATACCCCTAAAAGTGTTATGGGGTATTTTGATCATTATATTTTATCGAAAAATTATTTTTAATACTTTTTTAGATGCACCCCATTGAAAAGATGGTACATACCAAATTTCATATTCATACATTTTGTGAAAAAAACTTAAAAAGCAAAATACTCTGAGGCGTCAGATGTTAGATCAAACGGTCAATGGCTAACTTGATCTAAATTCGACAGTTGGATAGGAGGGAAAGTATATATCTTCTATGCTACACGGGAAGTATAGAAACCTTTACCATGAATTGGAATAGTATCAAAAATGTAAAATACTAAATATTGCATCTCTTATTATCATTTTGATGAATTTTCCATAAAGTCTTTTTACTAATTTGATTAAATTGGTCATTATCTTCAATCCAAATCGTACCAGTGGATGGGCTCGTAAAATCCCAACTTTGGATTTTAAATCGCAGTTTTTTCAAAGAAAATTGGTTTTGAGGGCCCTCAATGACCATTTTCAAGAGCATCGTATCTGGGAATTTCTTACCTTAGAAAACAAGATTTTTAACCGATCAAAGCTGAATGTGATTTCAAATATTTAACTGCCTCTTTAAGTATTTTCATCATGGGCCCAAGTGTACAACTTGGTCCAATAGGACCACTATATGTAACCATAAATAATCTTCAGTCTAGAACTTAAGCGGAAAGCCTCTCTTCAAGAAAAAAGCCATGTGCCTCATAGGAGACCTCTCGTACCTTTGGGGTATTCCAAGACTAAAAGCCAAATAAGTCAAATATTTAGAGTTCCATGCGGCAATGAAAACATTGGATAGGAGTTTGAGCAAATTAGTAGTTTATGTTTGACAGCAAAAAAATGTACTCCTAGAAATCGGGCTTGAAGTCGAGGGATCAATAGCTTATGTTTAAGAAAACTATATATCAATTTCGACTCCTACAAGTGAATTAGCGTTGAGAAATTTTCAGATCGGGTCTGGATTCACCTAGATCAAGATTCGATCCGAAAAATACACATAGGATTCAGATCAATATCTGATCAGGTCCAATATACATTGGACGGTCTTCATTCATTCTTAAGGCGTTATTTTTATGGGACACATAAGTACCCATGATTTTTTTCTTGCCAATTCCTGTAGTGTTTTAAAAGACTACCGAGTTAGCCAGAACCAGTGGGGTACCTATCAGAATCTAAGATGCCCCAGTTCAGTCCCCCATAAAGTTTTTTTTACAAAAAACCTCGAAAGATTGACAAGTCGGATTGGTACCAACCGGTTAGATCGATCCGTTTAGTTTCCGAAAAACTTGTTCAGAAGGTTCTAGAAGTTATATCCCCCAAAATTAATGTCCTAAAAATACCCTAGACAGGGTTTTTTAGCAGGTAGAGTAATACACAGTATGCTAATCTTTTGAATTTTCATATTTACAAAAGGTAACTCTTGGTGAAAAAATGAGTGGAGGTCTTGCTAGTTCCACATTCTAGAAGGCGTTTCACGGGTTGTAACGTTGGACCTCAAAAATGAAATTTGTTGTGCACGTGATGGAGTGGAGTATAACGGGGCTTATAACAAAACCTCAAATGATAAATTATTGGGGACACGTGTCAGACCGCAGTATGATTGTGGCATTATCGTGTAGAGGAAAACACATACTATTATGAACCTATCTTGTCTATGCATATGGACAAACAAAAAATAAGGAAAACTTTTGTATGAGGTTTCAACCTCACACTGTAGAAGTAAAGCACATCTCAAAAATCAAGAGAAAAGAATGTTCCGAAGTTGAAAAGCCTTCCAATTGATCATTTTGACCTTGACATATGTAGATATATAGAAAAAAAAAAAAGAATTTCACGTCATAAAAATAATGCATCTTATGTTAAGTTATATGGACCATCTATTTTTAAGATTTTCAAGTGTTTGAAATCTGCACTATTTTTTAAATTTTAAATTTTATAATTAGGGTTGAACATGGATTTTTAAGCTATCATGAAGCTTTTAGCACTCGAACTAAAAATTTAGAGGTGTGGCTTACTTGTATAGTACAAAATGAGCACCTTATACAAACCTCACCGAAAGAATAATCTTGATCGAGAAAGCAACAGTGACCTAGGATGCTGCTTTTACTCAAAATCAAGAACATGTTACCTTGGGCCCTCTTGCTCCCTAGACAAGTATTTTAGAACTCAGCGATTTCTTATCATCGTGACCTCACTTATAGTTGAGGCCTCTATATTTAGCTTCTATACTTGATCTTGAGATATGGCTTTTATTACTGCATAATAGAGAATCAAGATTAATGTAGTCGACTATAATTAATTAGAAAAAAACTAACATGATCATGATGATGACTCGAATAATTTATTTCTTACTAACTAAGAGAAAAAACTGTGACACAAAAATCACCATGTAGACTTTCAGACACCAAAATAATACATCCAACTGTTGACATGAGGATTCCTTTACTTGGAGAAATCTTAACATACCTCGTTGTATGCTGCATCCAAGTGTGTCGGCTTTTGCCCAAACTCACTAACATGGCACAAGTTTCTCTTTGAGATCGCATGCTTCATTCAATCTCCTTCTTTTGATAAGATTCCTTATCTGCTGTTGCTTTAATAGGAAAAACAGGAATGCTGCATCATTTATACGAACACCCTTCTTGAAGGTCCATTTATTAGCTCAATCATAAGCATATGTTGACAGGCCATCCTACCCTATCACCTCATTTTTCAGTTTTTTGCGAATATCTTGCTAGGAGCAGGACCTCTAGAGGTGCTCTTTCTGTAGGCGTTGATATCGATGGAAATCAGATACGACTAAACTGGTTTCAGGATGGTATAGGTTCTGGCTTGGTTCCCCTTAAAACCTTCTTAAGTCTCCTCTAAATTCCCAACCATAAATTCATATTTTAATTTTATATATATATATATATTAATATTTTATGGATCACCGATTTAGACCGATCTAAACCCGATTTGTATCACAGATCTAATGATCCGACTTGGATCTGTGAGTAAACGATCCACCCCATCAATCTGGATTTTAAAGCACTAGTATACTCCAAGTGCGGAGAAGACAACACATGTTCTTGAAAGTGACCTAGAATACCCTAGAGGTCATGGTTATCAAGAGATTCAAGAACGGACTGGGTAGGTTGGACGGATTAATTGGGCAGTTGATCAATTTGTTCTGAAGTTAAGTTCCGATTTGATTAAAAATCAATCAAAGCATATATTTGACTATGGCGGATTTTGATTGGTTGGACCAACGATAACTTTGAAAAACGTTATTTTTGGTAATTAATTTGATTTTTTTTTATGTTTTATCTATAAAAATTCAATCAATCAGCTCAACAAGCGGTTCGACTAGTTTCGATTAGAATACATCCCTCTATGATTCAATTGCAGATCTGG